CTTTGTGTTGCTCACTGCAGGAACTGCATTGGGCAGCAGTTTGCCATGAACGAGATGAAAGTGGTTTCAGCTCTCTGCTTGCTCCGCTTTGAGTTTGCCCCGGACCCCTTGCGGCCACCCATCAAGCTGCCCCAACTGATCCTGCGCTCCAAGAATGGCATCCACCTTCACCTGAGGCCACTGGGCCCAGGCTCTGGGAAGTAGCTCTGCCAAGAGTAGGGCCCAAGATAGCCCAGGCTGAGGCCTTTCCCTGGGCACAGCCCCCTCCAGGCTGGGTTGTGGAGCAGCTGTGGCTCCCTGTCCTTGAGAGGCTTGTATGATAGAAGGGGAGTTGTTATCCCCTAGACAGTCACCTCGAGGATGGGGCCAGAAAACAGGTGTGTCTGTGAATGCTTACTGTGCTTGTATCCTAGAGCTGACTCATTCACTCAGCAAATGTGGTAAGAAGCCACTTGCTTCTAGTCTCCTCCTTTTCCTTTTGTAGTGGGCAATCTTTCTAAAATGTAACAGAAGCTTACATTCCAGTCTGGGTGATACAGTGAAGGCAATGGAAGCTGTGCCTGGGATTCCTGTTTATGACCAGGCATCTGCCCAGTCCACGTGACAGAGGGGTGGCTTTGGGGCTTGGCCCTTCATTGAGATGGGTGTCTTTCTTTAACTTTGTATATGTGTTTAGAAAAAGAATAAAAAATTTGCCTAATGCAAAAGTGTACAGAACAATGAATTTCTAAAGTGCACCCCCAGGTAATCACTGTCAAGGTGAAGGATCATGGAATATGAACTCACAGGTATTATTTCTACCCTCCTGAGGTGGAACTGTGTGGCTCTACTGCCATCATCCATGTCTGTGTCAGATCAACCCAGTGCCCTGGGTGTATGGGCTTTGGCTGGGAAGGTGGCAGAATGACATTAGAGGGGAGCTTTAGGGAACGGTGGTACCTGAATCAGGCCTTGAGGCTGAGCGTGGTATGAGGTGCAAAGAAGTAGTTTTAGGGCAAAGTTCAGCTTAGGCCCACATGATGAATCAGGGGTCCTTCTCCAGTCAACTCTGCAGCATCTTTTTGATGCGTACATATAGCAATAATGTTCAAGGTCTGTGAGAGGAACTGTGGTCTGCAGAATCATCCTGTCGGCTAAGTATGGTGAATAAGTTGTCCAGGACACATTCTTGCTTTCCTGGTGGGAAGAGGGGTGGCAATTCCCTCTATTTGAGAATGCTCCAAGCCCTTCTCCCAAATGGCTTTTATTGGGAATGGCACCTGTAGGTGTATACAGCATACATAGATAGCTCATGAATCAATGTATAAAGGCTATAGTCATATAAAACAGGTATTATTTACAGAGAACAATTGAAGGAACACAGAGATCTGTCATAGACAAGGTGATTTATTCATGCTGATATCAGCAGGTCTTTAAAAGGTATTTCATGAGAGAGGGAGTTTATTCCTTATGCCTTGAACTTAAACATATGGTTTGTATCTACAGGGCTGTACAAAGGAGAACAAACTTCAAAGGATACAATGTATTTATCAAGCCCAAACCTATGGAAACCCTTGATGTTAGAGTTGGGTCATGTCTGCCACCTGTGGTTTTACCTGTTTTTTCAGGGAGAAACAAGACTGTTTCAGGGCTTGCTCTTGCATGGCTACAGTCTCAGCAACCACACAGAGAGGTTCCCAACAACGGTCTAAGGCCATTAGTGAGCTGCAGTCCAGGAATGATACAGGCATGGGGGTAGGGCACCTGACACCAGGGGAGGGGCAAGAGAGGAGAATTCCAGCCCTGGGACATGGGGACGTTTCTATGTTGCTCTGAGGAGGGACCACCTGCAGACACATCCTTCTTCCTATTGATTCCACAGCCTTGGAAGCTTGGCCCTGGACCCCTGCTCACTCCTACAAAGTCCTATTAAGACCTAGAACTCACGGCCCACCTAAGTCTGGGATTTGGAAACCTTAGTCAGAGTGTTCACCATGTCATGAACATTCCCCTACGTCATGGCCCTGGACAGACCTCTCTGCACAAGTGAAGAAATTGGTTCAACAGCTCTTACCTGGGAACTGAGTCCAGTGGTCATAACTAACTTTGGTCCATGGGTTGTGCCCAAATCTCCTTTTTGGACTGTCAGGAGGCTTGTGAGGCAGGATTGGAGGAGGCCATTATCCCTCTTCAACATTAAGGGAAGGAACCTGCCAAGATGCTCATCAGGGAGGAGCCTGAGTGATCTCCTGATTCTGGGCCCTTTTGACCAAGGCTTCATAGGTAGTATTGACTTTGTCTGAGGGCTTGTGTTGCTGAGAAACAGAGCTGACAGGTCTGGAGCCTGAGGGAAAGGGGAGGCTCCACGTGGGAGGGGAGGACAGAGGCTGGGGACCTGAGAGCAGCAGAGATGAGTCCACTTCATGCTTCCAGCTCTCTAGCACACCCTGCTGCCTCCCCTGATCCTAAGCTCTGGTGCATGTGTGTGGTACAGTGTGGTGTTGTGACCCAACCTGTGGGGTGGGTCCTTCTGCTCACTGCCTATGAGCCAAAACTGCAGACAGAGTTTGGTGGGAAAGAAAGGAATCTTTTATTTAACAATTAAGAAAAGGCTATTTAAATATGTGTCATGGCAACTACTACATAAATTCAAGAATGGAAAATAACTCAAGAACAAGAATCTGTACAACTAAAGAAGGCATATTAACTCTAGTCTAAGTCAAACTAGGAAAAATCTCCCTGTCACCCTCTGCCAGGTCAGTTTTTGGTTGTGTCAGGAACCTGTTCTTCCACCCCAAACCATCATAAATGTAGGTGGGTTAGCTGGTCTCTAGTCACTGTTTACCTTCAGGCATCTTTCATAGTGTCTGCCTCCGGGTCTCCAACTCCTGGTGTGCATGCCACTTTCTGCTGCCATTGAAAGGGCTTGCACTGGCAACTCTTGCCAGGCACTGGCCAACTCCCCACCCACCTCCCCCACTGCAGGACTGGTGTTGGGCCTGAGATCTTTGATGAAGGAGGGGTGGTGAGTTGGTGTGTGAGGCTGAAGGTCTGCCTTTGACAGTGCTGTGCTGTATTGCAATGAGCTGTAAATGTTGAATTTGGGGGTCTGGGGTACTGCTCCTAATAGGTTCAGACTCTTCCCCTCCTCTCCTACAGTCCCTAAGGCCCAGTGCCCAGGACTTCCTCCCTGTCCAGGAAGGAGGGGAGATCAAAGGAGGAGGCTGGGTTTCTGGGCCCTACCCCTTCTTAAAAATGAATCTGCAGTAAGCACCAGCATGCAACTCCCATGTTGCCAGGGCAACACAAGGGTATGCAACTCAATCCCTCCCCTGTTTCTGGGAATGGGGTCCCAGTTACCCCCTTTACCTCATTACAGTGTGCAAGGGCACATACAGGAGTAACTGCACAGGAGTGTATGTAAGCATCAGGCATCTGTGCATGTGAGTCTGTACTCAGCCTGGGGTTTTCCCCTTGCCTCAAGCCAGTAGGATCACTCCCTGGCCCTTCTCACCCCCCTGGAGTGCTGTGGTGAGGGCACGTGCACATGGCTGACCAACCAGTATTCCAAGTTCCCATTGTCCTGTGCTCTCCGATCAGGGCCACCAAGCCCTTCTGTACCACCTGATATCAGGTGACCTGACAAACATCCTACTCAGGATGTTCCCAGCTCCCTTTCCTGCTCTACATCTCTGTCAAGTACTTATGCCCACCATGCCCCTCCTTAAAGCAGGGCTGAAGTAGCCCAGGAACCAGGGGCCTGGGGTGTGAGATCATGGCTTCAGGTACAGGGTTGGGGAGAAGCCCTTTGGGGAGGCAGAGGGAGGTGCCTCCACCACAGGCAGAGGGGTGCCTGGAGAGGTCTGTGTATGCATCCAGGACCTTAGGTTAGGAATGGCTAGGCTTGGACAGGAAGAGAACCAGTGTTTGGAGCCAGCAAGAGGACAGGGCTGGGCTGAGAGAGGCTGTTGGAGGAACACAAAAGGAACAGAGTCCAGAGTCAGAGGACCAGGACCCACTTAGTCACCAAATGTGGCAGGATTGAAGAACCCCCTCTGCCCTTAGGATAGCTGGTCAGAGATGCAGGGAACTACCAGGGCCAGTCCTGTGGGGAAGGCATTGCCAGCTGTTTGCTGGCATCCTCTCTGATGGGCCATATGTGTCTGCCCTCCTGGGCTCCCCCTATCCCTCCTGGACAGCTGTCTCCTCTGTGGCCTCTGTGGTGATGGGTCCTGGCACTTCATAGCAGATATTATCTCCCTGCTTTGTCTCATCTCTCTTCCCCATACCATCTCCCTCACTTCCTAGCTCCTCCCAAGGCACATGACATTGTGGACTGTATTCCGGGAAGGAAGAAAGAACTGAAAGGGTGTGAGGTTGACAAATGGGTGTATAGGAACACACAGAAGGGAACTGGGAACATGGACCAATGGAAGTCACTAGGGCCCCATCAGGCAGAATGACAGCTCACAAGATGTCCACAGTCTAATCCCTGCAAGATGTAACTATGTTCCCTTTTATCTGAGTGAATCCATGTAATCACAAGTGTCCTCATAAAACAGAAGGCAATGTGACATTGAAGGTGCTGCTAGATTTGTACACAGAGGAAGGGTCCAGGAGACAAGGGATGTCATAAGGCAGCTCTAGATGCTGGAAAGACCAAGACAGGGATTTTCTCCTAGAGCCATGGAGGTGGTGTGTCCATGTCAACACCTCAGTGGTGATCCTGTGTAACCCATTTCAGACTTATGAATCCAGATGCTAAGAGAAAATTTGTGGTGTGTTGTCACTGAGGCTATAGTAATTTATTCTAGCATATAAAGGAAACTATACAGGGAAGATGAGCAGGCATAGGGTGAAGATGACAGGTTAGAGGGGCAGTCAGAGGACCAGAGGGAGAGGTCAGGTAGAATGGCATGTGGGAAGCAGGACTTGGTTAGATAGAGAGGATGGCCCCACATAACAGGGAGACAGGATGGCAGGAAGGAGATCTTCAGAACTTGCTCTTGTCCCAAAATGGATTAGAGCAACTTCCTCAGCTGCAGGTGGACTCCGTTCTTGGAACTCAAAACAACTTTTGGTACTGGGATGGGGACTCTAAATGGATTCACAGCTAGCTCAAAGTGAAGCAGGGTCAATGCCACGGCCACCTTCATCTCCTTCATGGCAAAATTCTTCCCAATGCAGTTCCTGGGTCAGGGAGGAGAAATGATATGAGAAGTGGCCTCAAACCCTCTTTTGAGTTGGGCAGCCTTTGACCATAGAGCCCTTGCTAGGAACAGGGCATTTGATGTGACTCAATCCAATCCTGTTTGTTTTTAGGACACACACACTTCTATCCCTCTGGTCTTGTTTCACATTCTGTACTTGAACTTTCACAAAGCCTACCTCTCTCTGAGGAGTAGTTTCTAACTCCTACTTCTGTACTCAGTAGGCATGAAATCCTAGTATGGGAAGGTCATTGCACTAACTCACCAAGTGGGGTCAAGTGAATGATTGAAAAGTTATTAATTTGTTTTCTCCTATCACAACCAGTTTCTGATTTCACAATTTGGAGGCCAGGTGAGGGTGTGATATGGAGTGGGGTGGGTCACACTCTTAGGTCCTCACTATATAGTTGGACATCAGTCACTGATGGACATCACTGATGGACATCAGTGACCATCATCCTCATAGAGAAGGAGAGATGGGTTTGTGTAATGAAATCAAAATGGCAACGAGGAAGCTGCAGGGACAACTAGGGATTAGCAACATTCAACCAGTTGCACCACCTGCCTCCCAATGAATGTTCCAAACTCCTGCCTCTCCCTCATCTCTTCAGTCCACCAGATTCTGTAGCCTTTCTGTCCTACTGTAGAAATGTCCCTCCTTGACATTTGTCAGTCTCTGCACCTGGACTTCTCTGTCTCCTGACTCCCCTCCCCTATGCACTAAAGCCCCTTCCATGCCCCCATCATAGGTAGAACATGTCCAACTGCTTCAGGTGACATCAAACCCCCATGGGTTGTTGCTTCACTCACCTCCCACCTGTCCAGCTCCACTTCCTAAGGGAGCTCATATTGTTGAATCACAGACAGGCCCTCCCTCCACCCCTGCCTACCACATGCTCAAGGTTAAGTCCAAGGACATCCTGACCTCACACCCTTGCTGCCTGTACCTCTTCTTCTCCAGACTCCCAAGGCACCATCAGTGATTTATTCAAGGATACATCACAGTCCAATGCCCAGGTCAGTTCAGGAAACAGAACATTCAACACTCTGCTCACTGAGTGAATGAGTGAGTGAAGGAAAGAAGGAATGAATGAAGTGTCTTCAATAGAAGATTTGTTTCTTGACTGGGAACACCTGGAGGCAGAGACAGTGTCTTTCCCATCTCCTGGCACAAGACTTTGCACACAGAGACATACTTAAGGAAAACATTTGTACTCAAATGAAGTTAATTGAATTGTAAAAGTAAATGAAAATTGTGGGGGGTAGAAAATACAAGTTCTGAACTGGGAATTGAGCAGCCTTATTCTCTCCTTCCTTTTAGTGGCAGGCATATGACTTGCAGCCATGGTCTAGGGGGAAAAGACTCAATTCTGGGAGAAACCAAAGGCTAGAGCCAATCAAATCCTGGAAGAATGATTTGTTTAGAGCCTATTCTGTGCAAGTTGATTCAGCATTTGAAGAATTACCAAAAAAGCTTGTTGCTGAGCAAGTACAAAGGTTAAGGACATTAGTATTTTACAGGAAGATTTCTTTAGTCAGCAGACTTTCCAACAGCAGCCCTTCTGGGGTGTGATTGTCCAGCTGAACAGCTATTTCAAGGATGCTTTATATTTTACACACCAGGAACATTTCAAATGCTGTGTGTCATATACAAAATCATGGGTTTTCTCTCAAAAGGAGTCATTGTCCTTAGTTTTATGCTTTTTGCTAATGTTGGACTGTGTAGATGTTGGAGTTCTGTAAATAATCCCACTGTGCATAAACAATTTTTCAACTGGAAGTAGTCATGCTTATGTGAATATTAATGTTCAGTAAATCTTTTATGAGGGTAGGTTGCAAAAGCAATGAGGCATACGTTGGTGTAAAACACTTTGCTGTGCACCATTCATGAACAGGGCTTGAACCATCAAGACAGGGAGGTGGCTGGAAATCTGAACACAAGCAAATATCACAGACACAGTGAGTGGCAGATCAGTGATGTAGGCAAGGCAGTGGCTGCCCTGCCCTGTGAGAAGAGAGGGAAAATTCTCTTTTTAATGCTACTGGTAATCAAGAAATACACGTGGAAATTTAATTTTTATAAAAAAACTTACCCTTGAGAAGTTGTATTCCTGAAGTGAGAAAGACACCAGAATAACTGAAGTTTAGAAGAACCACTGATACTGAATTGTGGGTGGCAAGTAGGGAAAGGAACTGTTTGAAGATTTTCTGACCAATATAAGCCTCTGTGTTTTTGCAGTCTATCCCAGCAAAGGTTTGACTGCATATCTTTAAATCTTTCTGAGGTCTGTATAATTCTCTCAGAAGTTGAAGTATAACCAGACCCTGTTACTTTTTATCATTCCTTGCATTTGCAACATTTTTTCCCTTGCTAATCTGTGAATGTAATCAGTAACATCCTTCCATTGCTATCTCTAAAGAAGTAATTACCTAAGCAAGCCTGGTATAGCAGTAGAAGGCAGCTAACATTGTATGCTATTAGAAAGCCAATAAAAGCTTGTCAAGGCAAGGTCCTGGGCACTCTCCCCTGGAGAGAGTAGCCGTGCCATCCCTTTTCTTCCACAGGACTTGGTAGTCCATGTGAACGTTTTATCTCATTCATAACACCATGGACACTGTGAGTCGGTGTCCACGTCAAACCATGACAACTTGTTCAGTTGGCAAAATTCTTTGTGTGAAGTGGGATATTTATACCATAGGTGCACTGTCTATATAGTCCAACATTGGCAAAAATCATAAAATTAAGGACGATCAACTGCTTGGGAGAAAATCAGTGAGTAAAGTGTGTGGTGGCCTGAAATGTCACCTTTCTTTTGTACATATAGACAAGTGCCACCTTCACAACACACCAGCATACAAAGGTATATATATGGGCACCACATATGAAAGTAGGAGGTCACAAACATTGGGCTTCGCATGTGGTGGTGAGCCCTCCCCAAGTACATGATGCCTCACCTCGGTCCTCCTGAGAAGGGCAGGAAAGCATTGCTGTGTAGATCAGAACCTGGTGCAAAACGGGAAGGGTCAAACACCTGCAGAAAGAGCACCAGGGTTAGGACAGGTAGGGTAAGCCCCTCCTTCCAATGCAAGAGGGCACAGGACTCCTGGGGCTGGAAACTGGAGGAGGTGTTGGCCTAGAGAAATCAGCCCATCCTCCCTCCCACAGCCATCCTGCCTCTGGGTTGGGCCACACCTTCGGATTGTGGTGAAGACCATAAAAAAAAAGTGAGAGTTTGATTCCTGTAGGGCAGGGAGAAGAGGGAAGACTGATCATACACATGAGACTAGGGGGCATGTGAATGCCTCAAAACTTGGGAGCTGTAATGAGTGTCAGAGTGGAATGATACTATTGTCATACCAGAGGGTGGACTTGGTGAAGCACAAGCGTACACATTAAGGGTAGATAACCATGTCCCAGGACTGAGAAGCAAGAGAGAATTGAAGGCTTACTTTCTGAAGCAACTCAAATTAAAACTCACATTTTTAGGTGCCCTTAATGGGTCTTTGGGAATTATCCATGAACTCATTCAATCCTCACAGCAGCCCTCCAAGGAGGGCATTCATGTTCCTGTTGTTCAGATAAGGCACCTGAGCTTTAGAGAGGCTGAGCACAATGCCTATGATCACACAGCTAGGATGTGGCAGGGTTTGGATTCAGAATACAGGTGAACCATGAGGTGGCCTCCACCATGGCAGGATTTCAGATCTGATCAACATCTGCTCTCTGCCATCAACATGAGGGCTCCTGGGAGACTGGACCATCTGACTCATGGCAGTGGATTTGCTGATCTTACCCCTCTGCCTAGATCACAGAGGAAAGCAACCATATGTACCCCTTCCCTGTGTCTGGTTATTGGGCCAAATCTCATGCTTCAGAAAACTAGAGTTTTAAAGTGAAATTCTGGAAGCTGCATCCAGAGTCCAACATCTCCTTGTGAAGAACATGCCATGGACTGAGTCATTATTATGTTATCTGGTATGTCTAGAGTGATTTGCATTTGTTACAGAAGAATTATGCACACATTACATCAAATACAGAGGATATTCAAATAGATATGATAATGCAGACAGAATTACCCCTAGAGTCCTATAACTTGGAGTTGGGACTGGAGAATGGAGTGTTAGAACCATAGAACATCAATGCTACCAAATGGAATTACTGTGGTATCATCAAACCATGGATTCTAAATGTGATAGGATGCTAGACTAGAGAATGATAGCAGCTTGGGGTTCCATTCATGTGAGATGTCAGATTGAGATGGACATTATTGAGGTAAATGTACTGATGTGATTCATGCTCTATGATTAGGAGGGGGCACTGGTGTTGTGGTCAAACTGTGTAATAGGCATTTCATATTCCTAATATAAACAACAAAGTAAATTTATACTTAATGATGAAGAAACAAGACCAGAGAGGTCAGGACTACTCTAGGACACATGGATCTGATCTGCCATGTGTTCTTGCAGAGTACCCAGGTTACTGAGTGTGGTGAAGTAAAGACCTCTGGGTAAGGAGCGTCCATCAGGGAAGGTGACTGGCCTGTTGAGCTCTCTTCTAATAAATGGTACAGGCAGATAGAGTCGCAGTGCCTCCTTGATGCACATGGTGGTATAGGGCATCTGATCCAGCTGATCCCTGAAATGAAAGCAGCCCAACCTGAGGGCAGGCAGGGCCCAGGCAGTCCCAAGGGTCTTGTCTAGCTGAGTGGGCAGGGCACTCCCGTATCTTGGATGCTCACCAGGTGATGGAGGTGCCATCCCCCAGTAGACTTTGGATCTCCTTACGGCACCTATGCTGATGCTCAGGGTGTGCAGCCAGAGAGTAGAGGATCCAGGAGATGCCACTGGCTGTGGTGTCATGGCCCCCAAATATGAATGTGTCCACCTCGGCACGGATGTCCTTGCCAGGCAAGCAGCTCCCATTCTCCATGTGAGGAAGGCACAGCAAGAGTGCAGGGTTTGTTTCTTCTTCTGCCCCTCTGGGTGAAGCCTCAGGCCCCTCCCACACACACTCACTCTGGCAAAGAGGAGGATGTCCAGGAAGTCCAAGTGCCTCTTTCTCCTGACCTCCTCCATCTCTCCCTCCTCTTGAAGACATGCCTTCCTCAACTCGATCACTCGGTCTGTCCCAGAACAGTGGACCCCGGCCAGAGCTCAGGGCTTTGGGAATCCAGAAACAGCAATTCACAGAGGACCCACCTGCTCTCAACCCTTTTCCAGTCTGGGTGCCAAGAATCAGAATGAGTGTGGGAGTTGGGGTGCACATCATGAGGGAGAGCTCCATCACCATCTGATTGGAAGTCAGGCCTCTGCTCAACAGCATACCCATGGAGGAGGTTCTTCCTGAATTTCACTTGCAGGGGGTGACATCACCAGTATGGTGACACACGTCAATCCCAGCACAAGTCCTGGTACCCCAACACCTCCTTCCAAAGCCCTGCACCAGGAGAGTACCCAGTGTGGGTGTGTTATATCTCCCAAAGAGCACCAGGGGGTCTTTCTGAGGGTCAGGTTCAGTTTTCTCAAGATGTGCCTGATGAGGGACAGGAGCAGCCCAGGAGGTGGATCTAACCTGTGTGCTGATGGGCGAGCTGGCAGGCCCAGTGGTTCCAGCGGCCCTCAGGAGTCAGCCCATAGATGATGTCCTTCTGGTAGAAGACACTCCTCATTCGAGAATAAAAGAGGTTTTTTATATCCCCAATGGCCTGGAGGTAGGACCAGGAGTTCCTGAGGGAGAGATAC